GAACTTTTTGTAGGAACAGATACAGAATGCATGATTATATACAACCTTGTCACTTCACTAAAGTTGCAAATCAGGATCAAATCCAGATACAAAATCCTATGTTACAGGCACAGTAGCTTCAATAATTAACTGGTCCACCTCTTCCCCCTAGCTTCCCTCCTAGTTTCTGACAGACATGCACTGTGTGGCTCTCCCTGGGAGTCGCACAGTCCCAGCTGTAAAGTCCCCTGGCAGGGTGGCAGTTTTTAGATCTGCACAGGTGCAGAAGAATCTCCATTCATAATTATGGAGAGGCCATTAACCATTGGAAAGAAGAATAAAATAAACTTTTGGGATTGCTACAAGAGAGAACTGGAGGTGGGGGGAATAAGTCACAAGCTGTATCCATGCAAGGAGTGAAGAAAATACCCCATACGTCTTGGTACTAAAGAGCATGTGATTGACTATCCTTCCCCTCTGTGCCATTTCAAAAGTACATTTGAGGTGAGAATTGTGAGTTAATTACCCCAATAACACCTCTAAACTCTGATCTCTTATCTCTTACAAAAGCATTTACTGCTGAAGTGTGTAAAAAAATACTTTGTGTATAAATCAGTGGGTTTATGAACCATTTTTCAAAAATGTATAAAGCCTGAAGAAGGGATATACACTATTTTGAAAGCTTGCATCTTTAATAACTTAAGTTAGCTAATAAAAGGTATCACTTAAAGTGGTATTAAACTGAAAGTCTAAAAAACTAAAAAAAATATTATATTGTAGCTTACCAATACCTGCATTATTTTTTTTTTTATGTTTTTTTACGCTTTATTTTCACCTAGTGATTTGTCCAGTAAGTCTGTTATATTTTAACCCAAAAGAAAACATTTCAATTTTAATTAGCCATGTCCATCTAAATCTGCCAGTGCATCTAACTCTACTCTCTCCCCAGACTGACAATGCAGCTATCCAAAGGTGTCACAGTTCCTTCTCCATCCACATTGGAGACACCCTAAGACAGGAAGTGTTACTGGCTCAATAACCAGGAAAAACTAAAAGAAAACTAATACAGCCACCACATTTAGGGATTTGGTAAGCTGCAGTATATTGCATTTTGGGGTTTTTGGGTTTAATACCACTTTCAACTCCAAACTTTGTGCATTCTTTTTTGCTATACAAGTCTCATATGTGTATATGTTTGTTTAAGGTCTTCAGCTGAATCTCATTTATTAAAAGGAAAAGTACAGTGAACAGACTCCCCTAGATTTAGAATAAGTTCTGTTTCAGTCTCAGAAAGGCTGTAGCATTCTGCTCTGTTAGATGTACCAGATGCAGTTTCATCAAATGATAGACTTGTCTCTGAAGCCGTTAATTTACTTTATTGAAGCCATCTGCAGGATAAACACTGTTCTATTCTGGAATCCTTATTCAGTTTTCTTAGCAAAGAGAGAAGTTACACTAACTGCAAGTATTAACACTTACTGAGGATTTCATAGGGACTAGGGATTCTACTGACACCAATTCTATGTGAACTCAGAAAATGTCTGTCTGTTGAATCGGGTCCTCTGCTGTTGTCTCATCACCACTGGAGGTCTTAACCTCACTGACACCACCAATATATATATCTTTCTAAACACTTAAATAGGCACAGAAGAATAAGACTCAAAGCTCTATGAGAAACAGCAGAATGCATTGGCAAGGTCAACCAACATAAGACATAACAATGGAAAACACAACTAGGTAAATGAAGTTCCTTGCAGTCATTTTAACTCCCAGTTTATACTGTAACTCCAATAGCATAAACTAGAGTCATCCTCATAGGATGAGCAGCAGCAAGTGATCAGAGAATAACAAATCTGGGTATGGGCTAAGTCACTTAGGGGCTCTCACAATGAGGGACTAAGGCTAGGCCTATTGTGAACTGGTCAAGGTTAAATGCAGTTCTGCCTTCAGGATCAAGTAGCCTGAATACTGTCCTTAGCATTACTCTTCTGCCAGCTGAGTTGGGGCCCTTGAACACGTTGGCGCACATAATCAAGATATGTCTATGGTGTAAGTAGTTATAATCTTGCACCCAGTGGATGGGCTGTAAGGTGGGGGGTTCTTTACAACCCAATTTCAACATCTGGGTGAAAAAAGCAGATAAAAGAGGTCAAATTGGTCCTAGTTCTGCAAACAGGGGAACGCTAGGGCAATTGTATGTTTTGGTTTACAAGCACAAATTCCTTGCATGGGGACAGTATAAATTATATCAGTATTCCAGCATGACTGTGGGTTGGAGACACTCTCACCGCTCAGTTCACCTTCTCAGTTCAGTGCACAGAACGTTATAAAGACCAATGTTTATGGCAGTAACAACAAGTAATTTTCAGTAAATGCAAAAAATGATATTGGTCTGAATAACGAGCTTTAATGCAGCCACCACATCTAAGGAACTATGGCTTGCAATATATTAAATTTTTTTCTTGGTTTTAGATATACTTTAGGTTTTGTACCCACCCTTTGAGGAAGTGTTGTATTTACTGTATATATCATTGGATTGCTTAGTGTTTGAGAGAAGATGGTACTAGACTGACATTTTGTGAATGCTGTGCTGTAAACTTTAGTATTACGCCTGTTGTTGTCTTTGCTATTATATGCAATTAAAGAATCCTAAATTGCTGTTGACTCTTAGCAGCTTTTGTTTCTGGATAGACTAATGCTGGTCAATGTACCCCGTTATGCCTGGGGAGCTCTTACCAGAAACAGGAATTAATTATATTGAAGCCTCCTGCAGTTTAGGGTTATTTAATTTATACAAAAAGCTGATTAGAAATTTGTTTTGAAATCATAACATGTATAAAAGTGGCCATGAACTAAAAAAGTGAAGATCTGCTACCTTATACAAAAAAATCATAAAATGCTATTGTGCCCAAGCAGTACCCCGAAAAACTAACCATTGTATTTCAACTCCTACTTCTCCTACTGACATATGATTTGTGCCTAGGCACTCCTGTTCTATAGCCCATATATCTACACTGTAAGAACCTTTGAGGCTGTCTCTGACTGCTAGTCTCTCAAGATTAGGAGTGAGAGTTGGTGATGTCGCTACTGTGTTGCTTATTTTTCTCCTTGCTGGAGTGGAGGCTGTACCTGAAGGCTAGCAGTGCAAGGATACTCTTGCTTCTGCTTTTTTCATTCTACCACAATGGCTGCTTTCTTACAAAGACACGGTGTGGAACAAGACATGGTTCCACACAGTGGAAGATATCAGGCCATACTGGTGACTATTCGTTTGTCCTCTGGTTACCTTTGTGGGCATGGTTATCACGGTTATCACAGTTCTAATCCTTTTCAAAAAAGAATCTGCCACTTCATTTTTAGGGGCACTATGGTTTATTTTGAGATACATTAAAGTACACATGGATTAAGCAGAGATGAATAAAATAAGAATTCATTCAAACAGCCCACATGCTCTATAATTTGATGTGAATTATTGTAAAACCCAGAAAAGTATCTGATTTTTAATAGACTGCTGCTTCAATTCCTTTGACCGCAGCTCCTAGAAGTTTTGTCCACAAATTCCTCAAACTGTTTTGGACCTTTAGAAGCAGGATTATCACCTGCCTGTGCTTTTCTTGGATTTCCTCTGTTTTTATTTCTTGGAATTTAGAACTCAAATGATTATCAAGAAAAGAGGAAAAAAGAAACATCTTTTCATTTTATAAGAACTTATCTGTCTAAGGGGTAAGGTGTGCTTGTAAAAGGGACCTTTCATAGAAAGGGTAAATAAGTAAATTCTTTAAGATCAGTTCTGGATCGCATGATAAAACAAAGAAAATAATTTTGGAAGAATTTTAAGGCAAAGTTCCACATAAAGCTCTATAAATTTCCTTCGGAAAAAAGTGATTTAGGCCAGCCTGTGTGTAAAATGGTGGTGAAGTAATGCTAAAAAAATGAAGTTCCTCCAACAATCTCATTGCTAGGAGGTACCTGTCTGGAACTGAAAAGTATTTTTACACTGAAGCAAACAATACTAACAGTCTGGTTGGCTGCATGCTGTGGAGACCATACTTTGTGCTAGGTATGTACATAAGGACTAGAAATATAATTTAACTAATAGGTTTTTTCCATCATCTTCCCCAAAATTTCAAAATGTTACTTAAAAATCTATGGTTGAATAGAAGGGTTACACCAAACTGTGTCTTAATGACACTGAATATACACATCAACTAGCACATATTAGAGGTTCTTTGGTTTCCATTTCAAGAAAAGCTTTTCAGTTTTGCTAGCAGAAGGATAACATGGTGTTTCATGAGGTTATTTTGATATGTTTAGTACAGTGAAAGAGACCTGGAAGACAGAACCCTCAGTATAAATTGTGCTGGTAATGCAACATGGCTACAGCTTTATGGATCAGCTGGGGTCATATTCCTCTGTATACCTTCAGTATCACTTTTGGCTGCAAGCTGTAGGATCAATAGCTAAGGCCTTCCTTGGCACCTTGTAAAACACAGCAAAGCTGGACCTAGATCATTCACAAAGTGGCCTTTATATTTTTACAACTATCATTTTTTCCCAGAGAACCCTGGATTTCCACTGACTGCCCTCCCTGGGAACACATTCCCCATAAGCTTCCACTGCAGCATCTCGGTTTAGTGGAGGGAAGGATTTCCTCCTGCTGGGCTGTGGCTGCAGCTAAATACCATTCCAGTGCTGTGCCTGTCTTCAGCTGCACTCTCCCCTCTTCCTCTTCTCCCAGCCATTGGCTCCTGCTGCTGTGAATCAAATCCAGTGCGGAGGGAGCAGGGAGGGCGGCACTGAGCCACACCATGTGTGTCTATGGATGCACACATCCCAGCTTGGGAGTGCATTCGCAAAAGTGCAGTCAGCTTGCTATGGGGGCATTTACAGAAGAGGAAGAGCGGGACCCCAGAAGAGGAGATCCCATTGGAGTTCCACTGCACAGAGCAGGTAAGTATAACATCTTTTTTATTTCAGTTAAAAAAATTAGCCTTCATGACCGCTTTAAAGTGTTACTAAACCCAGGACCCTGCATTCACTATATCTGGTCTCCCCAGACCCCGCATTCACTATATCTGGTCTCCCCGGACCCTGCATTCACTATATCTGGTCTCCCCGGACCCTGCATTCACTATATCTGGTCTCCCCCCGACCCCGCATTCACTATATCTGGTCTCCCCGGACCCTGCATTCACTATATCTGGTCTCCCCGGACCCTGCATTCACTATATCTGGTCTCCCACAGTACACATAACATGGAAATGCAATAATTTTAGTAGATATAAACTGCTAAATAGCTTTCCTCATCAGCAGTTAGATCAGTCTTGTGACTTTTATCAGTGTCCAGCAGAACACTGGTTAAAGCTTGTAGGAGGAGTTTTCTCTAGGAGGATGCAGTACCCCTGACCTCTGTCTGGACAGTGCTGATTGGCCCTGTGCTGATCACATGCAATCTCCGAAGAAAAAAAAAACCTCTCTAGCAATACACACCAAACTGAACATTTGTAGAGTGACTCCACACGATATGTATTTTTTGTGTATTTGCATTAGTTTAGCCGCGTTTTTCCGCATTAGCGGTTTTTACACAAAAAAAATAAATTTGCCTCAAAAAATGCTCAAAAACGCTGGTTTGCCATGTTTTACCAGTAGTAGAGCATTTTTACAGCTAAAAGACTCCTCTTGAAACCCACTAGTTCTGGGAGTTTTTTTCAGCCAAAAAATGCTGATTAAAGCCTATGTGTGCATGGACACATAGGATAACATGCTGGGGAGTTTACTGGATGTAGAAAAAAATACCAGAAGCTAGAAACAGCCATTGTAAAAATGCCCAGTGTGCATGAGGCTAATTCAGTCAGTGTCCAAAGTAAAGTTACAAACAGTGAAAGAAACATTTATGCCTGAGATCAGTCATGTTGAAAAATCTCCTGTATCTTACTGATGAAAGAATTATTGAAGCTTCCATGATGATTTTCTGCTGCTGATTGCTCGGCAATAGCAGCATAAATAAAAAACAGTAAAAGCAATTTCTGCAATGTCTCTGCTGCCCTCATGTGTGCCACTTTTAATTTATTATGTCTCTTTCAGATTTAAATGTTGAATCATAGATAATTTCCATCTAGTACCTGCCAACACAAATATATGGAATTTATTGTTTAACTAGACTCCAGTCTACACCCATAATGGACTATGAAGCCGACATTTTAAAAGGTGTCACTAATTGGCTGTTATCGGAGGGCAGAGCATCAATCACCAGACTGACATCCATAATTTCATATATTTTCTGTGCATCTACTATAAGTCTATATACATCCACTTCTCCAGGGAATTGATTTGAAAATATGAACAGTAAACACCTGTAGCATGTTTCCAAATGAATAATTCATGTGCGTGTATTAGGAAGACAAATTGCTGTGAACAGGTTTACCATTTATATAAGGCTGTTGAATGGTCAGTTATGTATAATAATACATATGACTTCATAAGATAAATGGCGTTTCTCTAAGAGCCACAAAGAGCATATAAACAGCTTATTTACTGTCTCACATAGTTAACTATGCCAGTGAGGAGAATACATTTCTGTAACCCCTCAAAAATTATGATTCTCACATTAAAGAAGTGGTAGTTCGGAGTACTTTCTATTACATAGGGGAATAATAAACTAAGTTTGCTACTTACCTACATTTGTAAAACATTAGGCCAATTTCCATGCAATACAAAGAGGACATGTTCTTTAAGTTTCAGCCTTAGCCCTCCTCTTCCAGTCTCATCTCCCCCATCCCATCTCCTGTTCCTCCTCAAGTCCCATTTCCCCATCCCATGTCCTCCTCTTCCAGTCTCATCTCCTCCATACAATGTCTTCCTCTTCTCCAGTCTCATCTTCTCTATTCCATGTCCTCCTCCTCCAGTCCCATCTACTCCATCCAATGTCCACTTCCTCCAGTCCCATCTCCTCCATCCCATGTTCTGCTCCTCCAGCCCCATCTGCTCCATCCCATGTTCTGCCCCTCCATCCCATGACCTCTTCCAGTCTCACCTACTCCATCCCATGCCCTCCTCCTCCTCCAGTCCCATCTCCTCCTCCTCCAGTCCCATCTCCTCAACCAACAGGAAGGGGCAGTGGGACAGGTGGGGGGTAGTGGGACAGGCGGGGGGCACCGGAACAGTAGGGGACAGTAGGACAGGTGGGGGACAGTGTCACAGGAGAGGGGCAGTGTCACAGGAGAGGGGAAACAGGAAAGGAGGGGGGCAGCACAAAAGGAGGGGGGCAGCGGAACAGAAGGGGGGGCAGCAGGCCAAGATGGCAGTGTCACAATAGGGGGGCAGGGAGACAGGAAGGGGGCAATGAGGTAGGAGGAGGGCAGTGTCACATACACCTTGAGAAGCACCTTTCCTTTCAGCTCTCACCTGTCCTGCAGCAGCTTCTCCAGATGGTGTCAGTGGAGAGGATCTGATGTCAGGAGGAGTAGCTGAGCCTTTGTCCCATGTCCACCAAGATCTCCAGTGGCAACTGCAACAAAGAGCGGGGAAATTCCTCCACCCTGACCTTGCCTTCTTCTTTCTCTTCCTCCTCCATGGGACCCTCCGCTAGAACCCCCTGGCCTGACCCACTGCGCACAGCCGGGCACATACTGCCATTCCTGACTGCAGCCTGCCTGGCAGTGGGCTCTCCCACCCAGCACTCCACCCTTCTCTGCATGCCAGCAAGTCCGTTCTGCCCAGGGCAGCTGCCCTGCATTAATGATGGCCATGGCTGGGCCCTGGGCCCCTCGGGATGCCCTGGCTCCCTACGTGTGTATGGACTGTCCCCCCCCGATGGCAGACCTGTTTACAAGGTTCTCTTGAACAGGTAGACAGCTTAGGTAGATCACTTTCATAGCAAAGATTCTCTGTAAACAGTTTTCACTTCTTGCCAGTATTTTGCTGGTGACAAATTTCAGTTTAGCGTCAGATTGGGTACCTGCCCCTGGGCCTAATTAAAGGAAATCTGTGTGACAAGAGGAACCCACCAGATGAAAATTCTGTATTCTGCTTCTTAAAATACATGTCATGTTGATCCTATTGCCTCAATTCAATCATGCACACCAGGACCTCTGCTCAACTCTGATTTCACGAGTTGCTTTGGTGTTTCAGGTCAGATACTGAGAAACTATTGTGGTCACTGGACTAGTAAAATGGCCAACAACTAGCATTTCCTGAAGGAGCTCAGATTTTCAGACTACATACAGATTTCCATTCAGTTATAAAATCAGACACTACTTGCCATTTGGCAGTCAAGGTATACTATATGGCCAAATGTTTCTGACACCTAGCCATCTTTATGATTTTGTTGGACATCCAATTCCAAAACCAGGTGCATAGAATCAAGATCATAGTCATGTCATACATTGACAAACATTACCATCAGACCTTTCAGACAATTGTGTGCTTCCGATCTTATGGCAACAGTATAGCAAAGGCCATTTCTGTTCCAGCATGAAAGTGCCCCATGCATGAAGCCAGCTCCATAAGGACATGGTTTGTTGAGCTTGGTGTAGAGAAAATTACGCAGCCCTAGCCTCAGTGACATTGAACACCTTTGGAATGAACTGGAGCAGTGATTTCAAGACAGTCTTCTTGTCCAGCCTTAGTACCCAACTCTACAAATTATATTTTGCCTGAATGGGAATGACCCCTCCCCAGTGTTACGTACCTGGATAGTGAGCCTGACGTGAAGATGCAGGCTTCCCGTACAACTCCGGCTCAAGGACTTCTGATGGTGAGACAGCGGTCGCAGGGGCACGGTAGGGTATGAGTGCTTGTGTTCAGTCCAGTAATAGCTGATGAGCTGATGAGTTGTAGGCAGGAAGCAGGGTTCTGATGTGGCCGTGCAGGATGGATGGATACTCAAGCACAGCGTGTTGAGGATGCAGGGTCAGACGAGCCGGGTTCGGTATCAGTCAGGCAGATCAGGCTTAAAGCGGCAGGAGGAAGAGTAGTCAGGTCACAGGCCAGGTCAGCAACGGAAGATCAATCAGACAGGAGAGGAGACAGAAGAATAATCCAAAGACAAGCCGGAGGTCAGGGCAGGAAGCAATCAAGCAGAGATCAGGAACAGGCTGGTTCCGTATCAAGAGTCAATCACAAGAATCAGGGAACATGAGCAGGGAAAAGACCATACGGCAATGGGACAACTACTGCAGCCAGTTTAAATAGCCCTTTTGGCGCCAGCATTAGTGACAGGCGCACACCCGTATGTGCAAGTGCACGCCTATGTCCAAGTGCCTGCACATCTGTTCGGTTCACAAGGACTCTGCCCTTGCGCATATTTGTGCGCCGTGGAACTTCACCTGCACTATGGGCAGGCCTTTTCTGGCACCCAGACATACTCAAAAACATGGTGGAAAGCCTTCTTGGAAGAGTGTTAGAGCCTCAAAAGGGGAAGGAGGGCAGAATGGGATGCCAAACAATTGTATATAGGTTTGATGGTCAGGTACCCACATGCTATTGGCCATATAGTGTATGTTTTAGAAGACTAGGTGTATTTGACATTACCTAAGTTCCCATGGGATGCTGAGCCTCATTTAATCCTGTACAAATATGGAAAAATCCATCATGTGAATTATGTATCACTGCACTGTTTCTCGATGTCCATAAAATCTGGATCAACAAACATTCTGTTTTGTACTTGGTGAAGACTGTAAAACATATTCTACAACCATTGGAAAGAACAATGCTAACTAAGCTCTCTACCAGTGGAAACTCCAAAGGGTAAAAGAGCAAAGTAGAGCAGATTCAATATAAGTTTACCAGCTCATTTCTATAACCTGCATTCATGTAATACAGAGGGTGATTAAACCGTAGGCACAGTAGTGGGTTACAGCTACATGGGTGATTTTCAATCTCAAGGAAGAAAGAAACCTGCAACCAACTGAACATTAGTGCTGGGCAACTGTGTGCAATCAACTTTGCTGGATCTGGATTGGAGGGGGATCAGGTAAGGAGTGGGGGGGGGGGGGGGCTGAAGGGGCCGCTGCCTTTGCTAACCTTGAGCCTTCAGAACCACTTTAATTATCCTTTTTACTTGCTTTAACAAGTACTATCTACTAGGGGTGCATTTGACAGGGTGGCGACAGAGGAGCACAACTGGGAAACACTTCTCACCCTGTAACAGGAAGAGTCTGAACAAAGACCTTCATGTCAGAATCACCAAATATATTTTCTATCAAAGTTTCAGATTTAAAGCAGAGCATTTTTGCACATTATGGCACACTTACCTATTAAAGCAATCCCTGCTAGTGTTGTAATGTCCATGCTGCCCTGCAGTGCAGGCGCTTCCATCTTCAACTGGTCTTCTTCTGAGTTTGATTTTTCTCCCATCTTGATTGGCTGGGCTGGGATGACGTAGCTGCGCATGCACACAGGAGTTATTTTGTCTCATCACGGAAGTGTGCTAAAACTGAGCTGCGCATATACGGCTCGGTATACACTTAGAAAAAAAAAATGCTAACAGGCAGGTATAAAAATCTGACAGAAGAAACACGTACAGTCTTT